AGGGCAGAAGGAGAGAAGGGAGGTGAAGGAAGGCGAAAGAGGGAGGGAGGGAGTGAAGGGGGGGGGGGACATGGAAGGGGTACGAGAGGGAGAGTGGAACGAGGGGGAAAAAGGAGAACCATGGGGAGGAGAGAGGAGGGGATGTGTAGATATGATGAGGGGAAGGTGGGATAAGGGGAGTGGAGTGAAGGTAAGGTAAGGTAAGGTAAGGGGGGGGGAGGAGAACGGGGTTGGGGGGAAGTCCGGTCAAGGGGAAGTGTGTCGTGTGAACGAGACCGCACTAACCTCCGTTTAAGTGGAATTCAGGTTTGTTTTATCTGGTGGTCGTTTCTCAAGGGTAAGGGTGAGGTTTTCAAAGTTTTTTTTTAATCATTATGTGGAAGGTAAGCAGTTTAATTCACCAATACTATTTTGGTAAGCATTTCGTACAAAATACGGCTTTGGAGGCAGGGGAGGGAGGGGGGAGAGGGGGTGGAGGGAGGGGGGAGGGGGGGGAGGAGGGAAAGAGGGGAGGGGGAAGAGGGGGGGATGGGGGAGGGAGGAGGTGAGGGAGAAAGAGGGGAGGGGGAGGAGGAGGGAGGGGTATATACCACTGAAGAGGACGAGGAGGGGGGGAGGGAGGGGAATGGGGGGTCGTTAAGGTGCCGTAGTGGGGGTGTTAGGTCAGCCTGGAGCCACTTCTCGTCGTGGCGGTGCGGTGGCGAGTGGCATGGTGCACGCTACAACACTGGTGAGTCAACTAGGTGCCACAGGCGGTGGGTGCAGTTAATCATAATAAAAAAAAGACTAAAAAGGAGAAAAGGGGGGAAAGAAAATGATGGGAGAGACATGGAACACAAGAAGAAAAGAGGTAGGAGAAAGGAGGAGGAAGAAGGAAGCAAAATGAGCGTGTTACTGGTGTTATTGGTGCCACATCCAAAGGAGTAAGAGAAGCAGGAAAGACGAGAGACAGGGAGGACAAAAGATTAAGGAGGAAGGAAGAAGGAGGGGAGAAAGAGAGGGGAAATGATTAGAAGGAAAGGCACAAAAAGGAAGAGACGGTTAGTAAAACAAGATATAAACATGTCTTGCAATAATTTATTGTTTAAGGTTTCAACATGGAAAAGTACAAATATTGCAATACAACCAAAACTACCGTTGGTAACGACAACAAGATGGAACTGCATCGCTGTGTAAAAAAAAAGTTGCTCAGGGGGCTATCACTGGCGCCGGTGGGGGGGCGTGCGTCTGAGGTGGGGGTAGGGGGGGTAGTTCAGGCTGCCCAATAAACGTTTTTTGCAACTCAATAAATGTATAAATAAAATATAAATAAAGAAATAAAATAATACAATAGTCGGGGATGTTTTGTGAATACATAATGAAAAGTCCGATAATATCACATTTTTCTGGTATTTTGTATTTTTTTGAAAAAAGGGGGACTTAAGTTTTTAATATTATTTCATAGGAAGGCACCCAATTTTCATTTTTTTTTTTTAACATACCATAAACCATTGTTGTCTCATGTCAATTTATCTTCATCTAATTATTTCTGCGATACAGAGTGCAGTGATATGTCCGTCGTCTCAAGATTTGATCTTTTCATAATAAAAAAAAAATGCGACTCAAACGAACACAGTCGCCATGGCAACCCCTATCCCCGTTTTCTATGTTCCGTTTTCTATGATGCGTCCTCCCTCCCGCACCCCACCAGGTGAGCAGACTTCCCACGCGAGCATTTTGTCGCAAAGTCACTTTTAAAACTCCTTTCATGAATTCATAATTATCAAAAAATCATATATATATATATATATCAGTATATAAGTATAAATAAATGAAAAATAGCCTAGGAGAGCACCCTGGTCAACTTTTTGTTATTTTTTTATATATATATTTTTAATTGTTCAGGTCCTTGCCAAAATCACAAATGCCTCGTTAATGACAGTCGGGGAAAATATTTAGGGGGAGGGGGTGGGGGGCTAAGGGGAAGGGGGCAAAATCTGAGGGGAGGCAGAGAAGAATGCCGTTATTCAAGGGGAGAAGGGGGGGGGGATAGGGGGAAGGGGGGAGGGCTGCAGAGCAAAGATTAGGACACCTTATGAGGTGGGGGGAGGGGGAGGAGTAGAGGGAGAGGTTGGGGTAAAGTGAGGAAGAAAGAGAGAGAGAGAGAGAGAGAGACCGAAGGGGAGATAGGAGGGCAGGGGAGGGGGGGGGTTAGTTTTGAGGTTGAGTTAGGTTCAAGAAAATTGAATGATAATACGTAAGAAAAATAAGAAATAAAGAAAAGGGAAAAAAGGAAGGTAAGAGATTTAAAATCCATACCTGATAATAAAACAAAATCTCAAAAAAAGGTGATCACGGAAAATAGACGAAAAAAACAGACTAATAATGAGAGAAAAAGGGGGAGTGGGGGGAGGGAGGGATTATATATATGATATATATATATCAGGACAAAAAGAGACAGCGAAAAGGCGGAAATGAACGAGATAGACGAAAGAGGAAGAAGGAAGGACGGAGAGAAAGAGACAGAGAAAGAGGAGAGAGGGAAAGGAGAAGGGCGAGAAAGAGGGGCGAGAAGAGAGGAGAAGGGAGAGAGGAGGAGAGAGAAGAGGAGAGAGAGGGGCAAGAAGAGAGGAGAGAGAGAGAGGGGAGGAGAAGAGAGAGAGGGCGAGAAGAGAAGAGGAGATAGAGAGAGGGCGAGAAGAGAAGAGAAAGGGCGAGAAGAGAAGAGAGAGAGGGCGAGAGGAGAAGAGGAGAGAGGCGAGGATGGAAGGGGGGGTCACAGCGCTTCGCTCGGCCGGCCTTGACGCCCACCTCCCGTGAGTCTGGAAAACTCAAAAAGAAAACGAGAAGAGACCGGCGAAGGGGGAACTTACATGAAATGGCAAAGAACTTATGGTCTACAACTCGTTTAGTGTCTAGGACTGCATTGGAACACAAATACACGAAGAAACCCAATAAAGTTATAATCATCACTTGGTTGATACGCGCAGTACAGTATTTCAGAAATCAAAGTCAATGGGATAAAGTTTGGCCATTCTAGTATATATATATATGTATGTATAATAATCAGGATGTGGGGTAGCAAATATGAATCATGACAATATAGAAATCTCATACGGCCTCGTACGGGGTTTGTCATTGATAAAACTTGTAGGCTTGGCTAGTTCTTCGTCTTTCAAAAGTAGTCAATGTCATTTGCACCTTTTTTTTAAATCCCAATTTCTTCTACTTTTGGAATTGCCTTCTTGACATTTTTTTGTCTTTATATATATATTTTAATCATTTTCCTTTGCAAACATGTGACCAAAATAACCAAAATCCACCCCATGTGTCTACACTCGACAAGAGAAAAAAGCAAACATAGAGAGACTTGTGACACATTAAATATAATAATATTAATAGTTAGACTACGGTAACTTATACAGAAGCGCTCATACTATATGCCTGTATTATCAGATTAATTATTCTAAATGAGAATAACCAGAACAATGGGGCCAAAGTCTTACGTGCTAAGAGGTCTGGGCCAAAACCCGGGGAACCTGCTGGAGGCTGCCCCGCCCGCGCACCGCCCTGCCTCGGGTGCCTCGGCCTCGGCGCCTCGCGCGAGGGCGCCCTCGGCCTGGCCTCGCTCGCGCTTCGGCTCGGCCTCGGCTCGGCCGCTTCCGGTCCAAAAGGGCGCCGCGACCTGTGAGAGGGGGTGGGGCGTGGGGGGCTGGCTGGTTGGGGCCTGGGGGGGAGAGGGCCGGGGGAGGGGAGGGCGTGCCCTCGGTGGTGTGGGCGGGGCGGGGCAGCGCGGTGGGGCATGCCCGGATAAGAAAGTCATAAAACCATACACATGGACACCGAGCGCTGGTACTACACAAGCTCAACAGGACAGAAAAGGTGGCCATTCCATGCCATGTGGCGGGCAAGAGGGGCGGGCGGGGGGCGGCCTTCGTCTTCTAGAAGAGGTCTTTCGCCCGTTCGCTCGGGGAGGGAGGGGGGGGAGGGAAGGCGGGGGCGACATACCGCTGCGAACAAGACGAAAAGAATCGGCGACGAGAGTCCCTTTCTCCCCTGGGTTTCCTTGCCGCGCCCGAGACGCAGAGAGCAGCGGGCTTCGACGCCGCCCCCGAGACAAGGGAGGCGCCGCCCGCCCGCCCGCACCCGCAGGTACGTGGTAGTGGGTGAGTGCGGGCGGGCGGGCGGTCGAGAGGGGGTGGGGAGATAGAGGGGGGGTCAAGGGAGAGATGGAGCTTGGGCGGGGGGCTGGGGGGGGGGGGGCGAAGGGGAGCTATTGACGCCGCAGGGAGACTGGGTGAGGCATCCAGGCTCTCCCCACCACAGAGACTGGTGACTGGCGGCGGCGGTGGCGGCGGTGGCGGCGGCGGTGGCGGCGGCGGCGGCGGCGGCGCATGGGGGGAGAAACAATTGCATATTTAACTAGAATGGCCAGTCTAACAGCGACCCGAGCGTGCCGGACTCGACAGGACAATGATGAAGAAAGTGTCTGTTTGAACGGCCTTCCACGAGGACCGCGACGGCACCGCGACCGATGCCAGGGCGGCGCGGCGGGGCGAGGGGGCGGAGGGAGGGGACGGGAGGGGGAGGGGAGAGGGAGGGGTGGAGGAGGGCAAAGGGAAGGGCAGGAGCAAGCAGGGGAGACAGGGAGGGAAGGGAGAGGGGAAGGAACGGCAGGAAGGAGAGAGGGAGAAGAAAGGGAGAAGTGGCGGCGAGGCGAGTGGGGGAAAAGACAGATCTCTCTCACACCCTCGCCCTGCCCCTCTCCCTCTCCTCTCACCCCTTCCCCCGGCCCTATCCTTCCCCTTCCTCCTCCCTACCCCCAACCTGCAAACCCTTCCTCACCTCCTCCCCCCCTTGAGACCCAAACCCCTCGAAAACCTCAGGGAAAAAAAAAATCACCCACTCTCCCCTACCCCCATCCCCCTCCCTCTCCTCCCCCTCCCCGCCCTCTCACCCCAAGCCGCCCATCGCCGGACCATCATGTACTCTATATCTTTGGTTTTTTTTTATTTGTTTTCTTACAGTTTAAACTTCTTTGATATAACTTCGCGTCGCAAATGAAGATGTTGAAGATGTTTTGTCGGGTGTGGAACATGATGGTGCGTATTGAAGCTGTTCGGGCCGCCATCCCCAGCGCTGTCTTTGTTTCAAAAAATCATCTTCAACTCTTACAAAATAGTTGTGCCAGGGATGGTGTCCCAAGACGGGGTTATGTATTATATATATTTATATTATATATATCAGTGTATTATTATTATTATTATTATCTTTTTTTTGGGAATTATTAGTTTTGTTATTAATAATAATAAAAATTTAGATGTGAAACCACTACTTCTCATTTGGTTTTTTGACTTTTTTATTATAATCTTCATAATATCTACTCTACAATAAGAGTCGGATAAAAGACATTATTGCATCGTTTGTTATCGAGGTAATCGGATTAGACCCCCAAAGTTAACAAATTGTAGTTTAGACTCAATACAAACACAGACACACGAAACATGGAATGATTGAGTGAGAGCTTGCGGACAGCGCGGTGCGAGGAGGTCAAGAACACCCTCCCTCCTGCGCACACGCACGAACACACACGCAGCGCCCCGCCGCCGCCGCCGTCGCCGCCGCCGCCGCCACCGCCGCCGCTACCGCCACGCCCGCTCCCGCCGCCGCCTCCACGCCCTGGCGCTCGGGGGCCGGCGGGGGCGAAGGGCGGCGGCGGCGGCTGCCGTGGGGGGGAGGGCGGCGCGAACCAAGCACCAGGAGGGCGTGGCGGGCAGCAGCACAGAGACGCCTGCAGGAGGGCGTGTGGCGCGCGCGTGCGGGCCGGGAGGTGCGGCTGCACCCGGCAGCCCGTCAGCCGGGGTGGGAGAGGCGTTAAACCTAGAGGCTACAACACACAACAGGAGAAAAGGTTACATTACATATACAATAAATCCAAGTGCGGAGGCATGCGGAGTCGGGCTTTGGAGGCGGCCCCGCGGGCGGCGGCGGCGGCGGCGGGGGGCCTGTGGGCGTCCCAGGGCGCGCGCGGGTGGTTTGTGCGATGGGCGGGCTCCGCCCACACGGCCGCCCCGTTCGCGCGCGCGCGCGCCCGCCCGCAGGACCCAAATTTTGTCGAGAACTTCGAGTCGAGGACCTCCGCCTGCTCCACTCTGAGAGCAATAATAATATGAACAATATTCAAACTAGACTTGAAGAATATACAAGAAGATGACAAATAGATACAATAATATATTATAAATTACGATACTAGATACGCGGTAAAATGCAAACTGAATGCATCGTAATCGACAAACACATTGACAGACTGGGTGTTACAACGTGTGTGCAGCGCGCGCGCGCCCGCAGCCCCGCGCCCACGCCCGCCGTCGAGGGCGCCCGCGGGGCGGCGGCGGCTCCGGGGCGCTGCGCCGCCCGCGTTACTAGGACAGTGTCCGCCCCGCCCCTCGCGCCCGCCGCGCCCGCGAACCTTGGGCGGCCTCGCGGGCGCGGCAGCGGCGGCGTGGGCAGGGGAAGCACCGGGGAGTTTGCATCCGTAAAGTCCTTCACTCTGTGGCGCGGCGCAAATGCGGGCGGCGCGGGCGGGCCCGACGCCGGGGCGGGGGCCGCCCGCGCGCCCGCCGCTCCGCCTGAGCAGGTAGACTACCAACCGTCCAACAACGAACACCTGCGCCCAAACGTTTCTTTTGAACGAACAGTTTTGAGATCCAACTGTTAATGCACCTTTGGTCACACGGAGTCTACAGGATTTATCAATACACGTGTTTACCTTCAGAAGTAAATAAATCCTCAAACCAAAGCTCTGTGGGTACTGACTCCCCCAAAATGTATTCAGGGAGGGAGCGCGGCCGACGGGCAGGTGCTGCGGGCGGCGATGGGCGTGAGGGACTGGGTGGGCGCCCCTCCTCCCCCCCGCCACTCCCGCCCTCCCCTCCCCCGCCCCTCCCTCCACCTTGCCTAGCCCTGCCTGCCTCCCCTCCCGCCCCTCCCCCTCCCACGCCGGACACGTGTCAGCGCACTTTGTGACGTCAGAGCCTGCCGCAGACGTGGCCGCGGCAGGAGGGCGGCCTTCCTCTCGAGGTCGAGAATCTTTGGTTCCTCTTCATACAAGTTCCCTGCAGTACTGAGCGAAGGTATGCAACTCGCAATACCCTTAAAAAAAGACTAGAAGTACAAGTTATTCATCATTATCACAATGGAGACCCTCGCAAGACGTGGCATTACAATGACTGGACTTCTCCCGCAAACAAGATCCCATGAGCCGGTGGTGGTCTTCGCGGCGCTCGAAAGCTCTCCCTTCTGGCGGGAAGTCTCCATTTAAGTAGCTAGAAATACGGTGTGCGCAGCGGCGTGGGTTGGGGGAGCGCAGTCGGGGGGCAGTCCACGGGCGCAGCAAGAGCTCGAGGAAGTGAGGCGAGGTGGGCGGTTCGGACGCAGCGTGGGCGTGATGAAAAGGGGAGGTAGGCGGGGTGACTTGACTTTGTTCTTGTTATTCTTGTTCTTCCTTGCCATGACACAGCGACGCCCCTCACGCCGAACACCGCCCCAAATATATATATAATCTATATTTTCTTTCCCATTTTGACACCACCGCCCACGCCTCGCTCTGAGTGGCCTTGTGACAGACTAGAACGCAAATACTGGTAAGAGGGGAAAGGAATGTTATCTGCTGACCTGCGTTTCTCTCTCTTGTTTTAACAGCAAATCTATTCAACAAGAATTATCTTTTTTATTTTTTAAATCTTTTTAATCTATCTTTTATCATTAATCTATTTCGTTGATGATCCATAGAGGGGTACAGTATATATGAACAGGGGCGATAGCAGTCTTTCTTAATATAGTCTCATCATAAAAATACCATCACCAAAAACTACTTTCCAACAACCCTAATAACAAAACACCTCACAGGTATTTGGATATTTCACTCTTTCATCTCTCTCTTTTTTTTGGTTATATATATATATTTTTTATTTTTTTCTCTCTATAAAAAAATCACATTTTCCCAGAGCCTAAAAAACCGGCCACAAGACACGGCGACATTCAGCCATCCCGGTTTCGAAGCGATCCGTCTCCCTCTCTTTAACAGCAACAGCCCACAACCTTCGAAACTTGAAACCCAAAAATAGACTCGGTTAAATAATTGGCACTTCATCAACCTTTTATTCATTTTTTGTGTGTTTCTGCCCTTTATTATTTATTATTTATTCATCTATTTTTTGCAAGAACCTTTCCCGAGTCTATATGCTCTTTATATAACTGTGTGCGAGAAAAACTACTCTTTCTTATGTATCTTTAAAATCTCGTTATCGCATCGTTTATTTTGTAAGCTTTCCCTCGTTTAAGAAGAATGAAAAAAAAATCAGATCTCTAAACACACGGGTGTTGATTGGTGGCTTTGACAAAAATCTATATATATATATATATTTATCGAGGGCTTTCCTTCCGAATCCTGAATCCGGCCTCCACAGCGCAGTCGTGACGAAGCCCAACAACATTCCGGACACTTGCCGACACACAACAATGTCTATCGGAACATCATATATATATATAGATATATATATAGATATCTTATATATATATATATAGTATATAAAAAAAACGATAAGACTCATTGAAAACCCTCTATGAACTGAAGAACAACCAGAGTCTTCGCATTATTTCCGGGGACTTCTGCGGATATATAAAGGAAGGTTCCGAAGTCTACAGTCTTGGTAGAAAAATCACCCACCTAAACACGTGCACATGGATTCACACAGACACACACACTGCCCAGGGCTGGATGTGACGTATGTGCTAACGGATGTGCTTTACAAAAGTCGCCCTTACAAATGGGGCGACTAGGAGCGAGATTCCAAAATCAGACTGCAGAGTACGGAGCCCGAATCACAACACTGCCATCTACATACGCTTAACATATTAAATCGATTGTTGCGGGAATGTTATTTATGTAAGGTTCGGTATCTAAATTTCTGTACAAAAATAGACACATTTTTTTTCTCTCTCAAGACAATCTTTTTTATTTATTTATTTATTTATTAGGTTTGCATGGAAGTTTTTTTCCCTTATCCTTACCTTGATAGCAGATTAGTACAGACGGGTTTGGTCGCATCAGACGCGTTTCTGATCTGACTTGCTTGCTTGCTTGCGCACAGGGGGAGGGTTCAACCTTTTACTCGTGTGTGCTTTCGGAAGTCCAGGGACACGGGGCACCTTGAACAAAGCTTTTGTCCCATTATCGCTACGCTCAGCTTGGCTCTCATCATCAAGTGTTTGCCTCCCCTTTCCTCGTAGTTGTTTTTTCCTCCCCTTCTTTCTTTCTTTAAATCTCTTATACATATATTGGCATTTGTATGTAGGGAACAGCATGAGGGCGTAAGCATCATGAACTATTATTATATACATTCACTTTGCTTTTCATTTTCAATCACTGATATTGTTTCTATAATGATAAAAAAGCAACAACTTTAGCGCCCATTTCCATAGAAAAACTAACACCCACAACAGATATATCCGTGTCTGAAAAAGGCGGCGCCATGAAGGGGAGGCCAAAGAGATGAACAATGAATCCAACCGCCACTTTCCTCTACAAGCTAATATTTGTGCGACACTTTTTTTCCATTAAAAGACAAACGATAAAGATAGTAATGACGACGAAATCTTTGCCCCAGGATGTAAAACCTTTGTGCCAAAGTGCCCCGCTCTGCCCGACCTCGACTTGCGTGGTTTTATCCTCAAAAACCCCAAAACAGAATTCCCAAAAAGCAAAAAAAGAAACAAGTGTACCAACTCAAGGCAACGGTTGGCAAGCCTGTTTGGATGCGCCGCTGGGTCACCACACGCCCACTTCGACCTTCTTTTTACTATTATTCTATCTTTTGGCGTTGTTCTTGCTGTTTGGATAGTCTTTGGTGGAGGTTACCTTTGAAGTTTGATTTTTAAAGCCTTCTTTCTTTTTTTAAGAGACACTCACCTGCGGCTCTCTCAGGCATCTCGCTCAGGTGGGCGGCGCCGGTGGACCTGGCGTGGGCGTGCGGTGAGCGGCAACACAGCCTAGGGGCAGCTGCGCCCCCCCTCTGGCCACCCGCGCCCGACAACCCCCGCCCATCCCTCTACGCCCCGCCCCCGCCGCGAACGTCCGAGGACGGCGGGCGCGGGGCCAAGGGCTCGAGTGGGGTGCGGGCGTGTGGCGGAGCGCGGGCGGCCATGGGCGGCACGGCAGCGCCTCTGGCGGTGAACAGAGACATTCCCGTGCTGAAGCTTTACCGTACGTGTTAGTAGGGAACTAAAGGGAGAACTCAAGTCTGAACTAAATAAAAACGCAAACTCAAATAAACAAACTAAATTTATTTTCCCAGCCATTCAGAACTAAAATGGTGATTTTTTGACATTTGGGTGTATTACAAAGAAATAAAACAAAGAGGAAAAAAAGAATAAAATAAAAATGAAAATCTCACAATCATAAGATGCAAGAAACATATCATTTCCTCACATGTAAATTATTCATGAACATGAACACTACTCCTAGGAAAATTAACCTACGAAATACATAAACTGACTTAATTCAGGACTAGAATCCTTGCTTTCGTGACTACCAAGCAAGAGGCACAACCTAAAAAGAATAAGAACGAGAACGAGAACAAGAGCGGGAAGAGAGAAAGGCGGGAAGGAAGGAGGAGACGGAGCAGAGGAGAAGAGAAGTCGAAGGGAAAAAAATGAGATTCTATTGATACTCATCGTATAAATCAACACAAAAAATACTTGACTATTTTCCACAGACTGGCAACATAATTCCGTTACACTTTTCTCTCTTAAGTGTACATTAGTAAAGACAATAAAATACACTTAGCATTAAATATGAGATAAATATCAATAAATAAGAGCGCATGACCGGCGCGCGCAGGCGGGGCGGCGGCGGTGGGCGTGCGGGCGGGCACGGCGGCGGCGGTGGGCGGGCGGGCGCACGATCTGGGCCGCCGCCGCCCCACGCCGCCCGCGCCCGCCGCCCGTCCCGGCCGCCACCCGCGTGCGCCGCGGTCAGCGCGAACCCATTCACACTCGCGGTTTTGAGGACTCGACAACTTGACAACTTACAGAATAATGATATCAGCGAAGAGCGGCACTCGGGACCGAGCCCACTACTGGCCTTAGTGCAACTAGCACCTTGTGATACATACTCACTTAGCCGACTAGTTCTGCTTTGGGATAATACGATCATATGACTCTTGATAAAGTGTTTGTAGTAAGTACGTTCTAATATACATATATTTGGATGGCGGGTGCGGGCACCAGACGCCCTCCGCGCCCCCCCCGCCACGCGTGGCGGCGGGGGGAGGGGCCCAGTCCGGGCAGCAGGGGGCGGGACCCAGGGGCCGCGGCGACCTCCGGCGGCCATGGCCCCAGCCCGGGCCGGCCCACGCGAGCCGGGCGCTGCTGCTGCTGCTGCTGCTGCCGGGGAGCGGAGTGGGTCGCCCGGGGTCCTCGCGAGGCCCTGACTAGCACATGGCCCCCGTGTCCTGGCCACGCCGTCGGAGGCCGTGTGGCGCGCCCGCCCCGCGGGGGAGGGCGCGGCAGCCGGCCCCCGGGCTGCGGCACGGCGGCTGGAGCCCGGACGTCTGGAGGGGACCACCACCTTAACTCTTGTGCTTGTTGGTCTTGAACGACACTTGGAGGACGCGGTTGCCCAGCGTGTAGCCGTTGAGCGACTGGATGGCCACCACCGCCTCGTCGTAGTTGGTCATCGTCACGAAGCCGAAGCCCTTGCACTTGTTGGTCTGCAGGTCCCGGATCACCTTCACGTTCTGCACCGCGCCGAAGGGCCCGAACAGCTGCCACAGGATGTTCTCCTCGGTCTCGGGGGCCAGGTTATACACGAATATGCACCAGCCGGAGCCGTTGAGGGCGCTGCCGGGAAGGAGGGAGTTCCCCAGCAGGTTATCACCCGAGCCTGGGGAATACCTGCGGAGAACACCATCCCCGGTTAGCGTGTGCGGGACCAGGGCGTCGGGACCGCCTCGTCCTCTGCCTAACACTACGCCCACTCTCTCGTTAGTCAAGCAACTCAACAGCCCTACTTTGGCCAAAGGAGAGAGGGATACATTACGGAACAGATGCAAGAGATGCACACAAAAAAACTGGGTGAGCTCTTTTCTTAGGAAAAATATTGCAAGTATGATGAAACTTATTCATGAAAATCTGTCTTCTTTTTTGTTAAAGGCAAATTGAAAGAGGCTGTAATTATAATATGATATGACGTAAGTGAACAAAGTCGTGATAGATTACAGTCATCCCTTTTCCAGCCATGCCCGTGCCGGGGGGAGGGGGAGGGGGAGTCTGGGGAGGGGGGCTCCACCACCGCCTTGTCTCAATGAACATTAAACGATATAAACAAACAAAATTAAATACCTGCCCCGCCTCAATTAATATCTTTGGGTTTACTTGCACAGAAATGACAAGAAAACAAAACAAAAAAAAGGAATCAAAGAAACAAGCAAGAAGCACAAGCAGAGACAAGAGGACTCTTATTTTCTCTCTCTTTTCTTGGATTTCGGAAAGTGACATTAAAAACTTTTTCTTTACGCGAGATTATTTAGGCAAAGAAAACACGGGGCAGAAATAAAAGCACTTAGGTCGGGGGGGGCGGGTTACATTAGTTAAGTGGGGGTGGGGAGGTGCGGGAGACG